GCTGGGTTTGAGCGGTCCTGTGGAACGGGAAGTTGGATGCGCTTGACCCGTAGAAGAAAAAACGACATAAACATAGAATGTCGGCGGTCCGCACGGATTCCTTGCATTTGCGTTGGGCCTCGCGGCACCTCCGGCGCCGCCCTTGGCGTGCTCCGCGCGCCAGGGGGGGGGATCCGGCGCACATCCAGGACATCCGCGCCTCCTGAGCGCCCTGCGCCGTAGTCATTAGAAGCTTGCATGTAAGCCATCGTCATCATACGAATGATGACGATTGGTTTAAACAAATGTTATGTGATTATATCTCGACTGAAGACGACTGACCACTTTCTGCGCCTGTAGAGGACAGGCATACTTCATCTTCCAATGTGCATGTGCACTGGGAGCATCGTGAAATCTGCTACAGATGTACAAGGAACGACCAGAGATCACGATCACGAAACCGTTCTGGGCGGCCCAGCGGCTAAGCAAGACAGGCTGCGTTCATGCCTGGGTGCCATTCCCCGAGTGCGGTTCTGGATGGGGTCTGTTCAGCTGCCCGTCGGGGAGGGGGGGGGAGCAAGACCTTCGCGGGCCCGACGGCGGGTCGGATCCTCGACTTAAGTCGAGCTTGTCCTTCTATAGGGGGAATAGCCAAAAGTAGTCAAAAAATAGTCTGGGGACGATGTTTTCACTGTCTTTATTTATTGTTGAGTATGTTAGGACCATGTTTACTTGTTCCTCCAAATCCGCCTGTAGGAGGACATGGACATGCCCGACCTGGTCCTCGGCCCACACCCAGCTCAGCTCCACCGCCTCCTCCTCCTGCTCCTCCTCCTCCTGCTCCTCCTCCTCCTCCTGCTCCGCCTCCTCCTCCGCCTCCTGCTCCTCCTCCTCCTTCTGCTCCTCCTTCTCCTCCTCCTTCTCTCCTCCTCCTCCTCCTCCTCCTCCTCCTCCTCCGCTCCTCCTCCTCCTCCTCCTCCTCCTCCTGCTCCTGCTCCGCTCCTGCTCCTGCTCCTCCTCTCCTCTCCTCCTCCTCCTCTCTTCCTGCGTCTCCTTCTCCTCCTCATGTTCCTCTCCTCCTTCTGTCCTCCTCCTCCTCCTCCTCCTCCTCCTCCTCCTCCTCCTCCTCCTCCTCCTCCTCCTCCTCCTCCTCCTCCACCATCCTCCTCAAGGCCGAGCTGCCCCAGGCCCGTCTCTGGAGGCCTGGCCGCGTGCCCACCCCTCGAGCGCTATGCCCCATGGGCGGGCTGCACGGGCGGTGCACCGTGGGGGCCGCCTCAGACTGTGCTCCCGAGCGTGAAGCCACAGGGCCCTCGAGCAATGGAAAATCGTGACGGGAGGCTTTTCGCCATTTTCGGCCTCTGGGTGCCCTTATCAGGCCTCGGGACCGTCAAAAGACGATTCGGGATGAAAAGCCGGTCCCGGGGAATAGGTCGAGATCTCGGGGGTCGACGTAGTGAAGAAATCATGACGTCGGGGGTCTGGGGGGTGGGCTTTTTTCATCGGCGGCGGGCCTGGGGGGAAGTGAGAAGGAGAAGGGGCTCGGGAGCCCCCCCCGGCCTTCTGGGAAGTTCCTGGAGCCCTCCTCCAAGACAGAGGAGAAATTTCTCGGGAGGCGCGAGGGCTTCTAAGAAGTTCCGCCGCGCCTCCTGAGAAGGCCTGCTCTCTCTCTCACTTCCCCCCTCGCGCGCCGCCGATTCCAGGCCGAGGCCAGCCGACACGCCTCAGGTCTGGGTCGCAAGGCTGCAGCCCACCCCTTTGCGGGCTCTGTGCGGGCGCCCTTTCGTCTCGGGCGGGGCCCTTCGGCGTCTTGGCCTGCAGGGCTGGCGAAGCCAGTCTGGCCTCCTCGGTTCGAGTGCGGCAGCTGCAGGTCTGAAGTGCCACGGGCGCCCGACCCGGGAAGGGGCGCGCAGGCCTCTGAGACGCGGTGCCCAGTCTGTGGCCAAGGGCGGTCAAGGTGCGACTCCGAGGGGGGCACCGCGGGACCCCGCTGTCGGCCACGCGCCTTGGGAGAGTGCAGGGCCGTTCGGCCCCCCTCACTCTGACAGCTCCTCCTCCTCCTCCTCCTCCTCCTCCTCCTCCTCCTCATCCTCCTCCTCCTCCTCCTCTCTCCTCCCCCTCCTCCTCCTCCTCCTCTCCTCCTCCTCCTCCTCCTCCTCCTCCTTATCATCATCATCATCATCATCATCATCATCATCATCATCATCATCATCATCATCATCAGCATCATCATCATCATCATCAACCTCATCCTCATCATCATCATCACCACCACCACCATCATCATCATCAGCAGCATCATCATCCTTTTCTTCCTTCTCCTCGTGTACAGTCAAGACACTGAAACAAGGACCACTTTAGGTATAGCAGGGCTCTGGTTCATGGGCCGTTCTCGTCAGTTCTGGGCTGGGGAGCCTGCTCCTGGTCGAGGCTCCCCGCGGCCAGAAAGGCACCCTCGTTCCTCGGTCAGCGCTTCCCTTGGTCAGCGCAATAGCTGTGACACGCTGTGCCCGCTTCTGTG